TCTGCCATTTCTGTTAACTCCATAGATCATTGAAGCCATCTTGCTTCTATCTATGTTTTTAGAAAGGAATTTCTGAAAGCTGTTATCATATTCCTTTATGATTGTATCAGGGTTACTAGGAACTTCTAAGACAGTTTCCTTCTGAGTATTTTGTAAATCATTTTCAAGTTTTAAAAATTTTCCTTTCAACTCAGAGTTTTCTAGCCTCGGATTTTTAGTTTCTTCAGAGTCAGAAACTAGATCCTTTTTCAGGTTCTTGTTTATGACTCGATGCTTCTGATTCCTTTCTAGAATTTCTGACATACTCTCCTCTAATTGAGTTTTAGAAAAGTTAGAAAATACCTCTTCTGACTCTGAGTCTGATTCTAATTCTAATTCCGAGGATTCGGAGACATCTGATAAGTTATCCGTTTGAGCTATATTGGCTTGTTCATCTTCTAATTTTGTTCCTTCTTCAGAAGATTCAGAGTCATCCCACGTTGCCATAAGACTTTTCTTTTTCTCCTTAACGAACTTCCTTTTAGGTTTCTCCTTCTGAAGTCTTGAACAGTCACTTTTGTAGTGATCTTGTTTATTTCATTCATAGCAGGTAATGTTTGTTACTGGATTTTCTATATCCAGAATATTATTCAGAGTCATTTCCTGTTCTTTTGGAGTTTCTGAAATTCTTCTGCCTGTGCTTCCACAGCTGATTGATTCTTCTCGATAGAAAGAATAGTTCATCTTCTTCTGACGAGGATTCTCTAGAGTTTTCTGCTTCTGCTATTGCCTGCAAAAATTTGGTTTCATATTTATTAGATTTCAGAGCGAGAGACTTACCTTGCTTCTGGGGCTCATCATCTTTTAACTCTATCTCATGGCTTCTAAGAGAGCTGGCAAGTTCTTCTAGAGATATTTTGTTCAGATCTTTTTCCAGTTTGAGAGCGGTGGCCATGGGTCTCCATTACTTTGGTAAACTTCTGATGATCTTCTTTACATGATCATCAGTTGAGTACCCTTTGTCCAAAACTTTTAGCCCAACAACCAGAGTTGGGAATCTTGAGAACGTTGCTTCAATGGTTTCATCTTCTTTTATTTTGAAGGCTTCATACTTTTGAATGAGCACAAGGGGCTTTGGTTTCTTTTACTTGCGTGTTGCCTTCATGCGTTATTTTTAGAGAATCAAACATGTGCTTTGTTGTCTCTCTGTTTGTGATCTTCTCATACTCTGAATATGAGATGGTACTCAGGAGAATAGTTTTGGCCTTGTGATGATTTCTGAAATCCCTCTTTTGATGATCTGTCATCCTTTTTGTCAATCTTCTAACCACTTTCATCAACAGGATATATGTATCCATCAGTTACCATATCCCAGAGGTCAGCGTCATAGGCTAGGAAGAAACTTATGATCATATCTTTCAAATAGTTAAAATTTTCACTGTTAAATATTGGGGGGCTGCTGCTGATGTTCTGACTTGTTCCCATCATAGTGTTTTTCCTCCTTGGATCTTTTTCTGACACGGTTAAGTGTTTGCACCCAGATCCAGGTGCTCTGATACCAATTGAAGAAGTGAAAAACACAAGAAGGGGGGGTTGAATTTGAATCTTAAAAATCAATGGAAAGCACACGATGATTTTTATCCTGGTTCGTTTGAACTCAAACTACTCCAGTCCATCCGCCAAGGTGATTTCGCCTCTCTCGAACAAGGTCTTAATCCACTAATCAATCTTGATTGCAAATCTACTTTGACTACTGCCAAAGTCATCTTGAGTCCAAAACCACAACCCAGTTTTCTCAAGGAAATGTCTAAACAGTTAATTGAATAAATGTGTACAATGGTGTTTCTACTAAAACAGTATCACTAACAATGATGTTTTACACAATTTAAATATGAATGTTTAAGGATGAAAGATGATTGCTGCATTGCTGTAGCTTCACGTGATTTCTTATTTTTGTGCGCAGTAGTTCATCACTTGAAATCTTCTTTTTGTCTGCTATATATAGGCCATGCAATAGTGACATAAGAAGATACTTTTGGTTTGTCCATAACACGAGTTAATGAACTTTCTAAACCAGTAGATTCTTGTCTGTTTGTAGCCGTTACTTATGATATTTCATTGATAGAATTGTAATGCTTTAGAGCTTCTCACATCAGAGGATGAGTGTTATCGTTGAGAGTCCTTTACAGCTTGTATCAAAACTTTGCAAATCAGAGTATCAGAGATCCTGTTTGACAGTGCTGGTGCATTCAGAAGTTGTAACAAAACTTCTTCATATAAGTGTGTCACACAGATTTGATGCGTCTGAATCTATCATGGTACTCTCAACTTCTATGCTCGCATAATCAGAACTTCTAGTGATGTTTTGGTAGAACTTCCAGTTACATCAGAACATCTTTTTCACATCAGAACTTCCTGCATGTAAAGATACTTTTATTAGCAAGCATATTTCTTCTTTATATCATGTGTTTGTTATCATCAAAACTCTTACTGGGATGTAGAACAAAATTATGTTCTAATACATACAAGCTTTATTATCCAGAAACTAATAGAGTTGAAGTCAGTAGAGAAGTCATTATAAAAGAATCAGAAGTATGGGATTGGACAATTCTCAATCTATTTCTGAAGATGAGTCATAACTTGAAAGTTCTGAAGAAGTGTCAAAGTCAGATAATGATTCTGGAAACTCTGAAGATGAGTCAGATGGTGAATCTGATTCTGATCCAGTTTTTGATGATGATCCAGAATCTCGTGGTGGTCATGCTTCTGGAAGGGAAAATTATAAAGACGTAGGTTCTGGAGGACAAGCTTCTGAAGATGATCATGTTTCTATTGGACCATCTGAAGAAGGAGCTTCTGAAGGTAGTCCAGCCTCTGATGAAGGTCATGATTCTGAAGGTGGAACTTCAGAAAGTAAAGGTTTTGAAGGCGATCAAACTTCTGAAGGTGGTCAAGTATCTAATATTGTTCCAAAATCAGAAAGAGATTCTAAACAAGTTCAGAGGCCATAAAGAATCAGACAAATACCAAGAAGGTTTGCAGAGTTTAACATGTTGGAAGATACTGAAGTAGATTCAGAAGGAGAAATTGTCCAGTGTGCCACGCTAGTAGATTCTGAACCCGTGAGTATTGAAGAAGCTCTCAAAAATAAAGTATGGTTAATTGCTATGAAAGAAGAACTTGAGGCTATAGAAAGAAACAAGACTTGGAAGATGACTAAACTTCCAGATTAGAAGAAAGCCATCAGCGTCAGATGGGTTTTCAAGATAAAGCTTAAGCCAGATGGATCAATTGACAAGTACAAAGCAAGGCTAGTGGCTAGATGTTTTCTTCATAAATCTAGGCTAGATTACTTTGAGGTGTTTGCGCCTGTAGCTAGACATGAAACAATCAGACTACTAATTTCTTTAGCTGCAAATAGAAATTGGCCTCTGATGCATCTGGATGTGAAGTCTTTATTTATGAACGATCCATTACAAGAAGAGGTATACATGTCACAACCTCCCGGATTTGTGAAAAATAATTAGGAAGGGGTGATGTATAAATTACATAAAGCTCTGTATGGATTGAAACAAGCGCCTAGAGCTTGGAATTTGAAGATTGATTCATTTTTCAAGAAGCAAGATTTTCATAAGTGTGAAATGGAATATGGAGTTTATGTATAGCATTTTGGAGGCGATATAATTCTGATATGTCTTTATGTTGATGACATATTGCTAACGGGAAGCTGTCTAGAAAGTATAATCAAGTTCAAAGAGGTGATGATGAATAAGTTTAAGATGACTAATATGGGAAATATGGTATATTTTCTAGGGATGGAGATTTTGTACTCGGAGAAGGGTATCATTTTGCTTCAGTTAAAGTATGAACTTGAACTTTTGAAGAGATTTAAGCTGCAGAATTATAAAGTTGCTATCACATCATCAGAAACCAATCATAAATTGGATTCTGACTCTGATGGTGAAGATGTGGATGCTACAACCTTCAAACAGTTGGTTAGTTCTCTAAGATATTTGTGTAATACCAGACCTGATATTTGCTATGTAGTTGAAATAGTTAATAGATTCATGAGTAAACCTAAATGGTCCTATTATTAAACTGTTGTCAGGATTCTGAGGTATATCAAAGGAATTCTGAAGTTTGGAGTATTATTCCCTTCTGGAAGAAAAACATATTCAGAGTTGATGAGTTATTCTGATTCTGATTGATGTGGAGATAGAGTTGATAGAAGAAGTATTTACGGGTACTTGTTTAAGTTTCTGGGAGGTCATATTCTTGGTGTTTCAAAAAGAAATATGTTGTTGATCAATCAACGTGTGAAGCTGAGTACATTGCAAGCACTACTAAAAAAATGACATTTGAGAAAAAGTTTTTACACCAGTTATCAAAATATATGATGTAAAAAATAAAATTAAAAACATTTTACATCAGGTATTTATTTGCAATGATATAAATAATATGAAAACAAATATTTTTCGCTATCTATTACATCGGGCCATTTAATCTGCCGATGTAAAAGGTTTCGTGAAAAAAACACGGTGGCATTTTTGTAAATAAGAAACCAGGTGGCAGAATTGTAAATAAAAAATTGGCCAGATATTACATCGGTCCCTGCAGTCCACCGATGTAAAAAGTCCGTGGCAGATTGATAATATAAAAAATATATTAAAAACCTTACATCGGAGCATTATAAAAACCGATGTAAAAAACATCAATCGCCCGAACCTTACATCGGACCTTTCTTTAAATCGATATAAAAAACTACCTTACATCGGGCCTTCTGTAAACCGATGTAAAAAATTTATTAAGAAAGAAGTATCCACCGGCGCCCACAGTGGACTACCATCTTCGTTAATCAGAGTGGCGCTGGTTTCATTTTCCATTCCATTGCAGTTCCTATCATTACCTAAGTCTCGTCGTCACCGTCACCGTCACAAACCAATTCGCCAAAAGAAAAAGTAATCCGAGCTGTGAGGTTTAGGGAAAAACCCTAACAATGATAGTTTCACAAATTTTCTGCAATGGAGGAAGATGAATATTGGATACTGAATTTCCAATGGCTTTTCCTCCTTATCGTCGATCTCACTTCCATAGCAAAACTTATAGCTCCCTTGTCCACATTTTCTCTCGTCTTTCTCCTTTCACCATTCCAACTCAATCCGGTAATAATCCTGCCTGCGAATCTGAGAGTGGCAGAGGTGAGCTGAGTTGTTATCGGCATTGAAAGTTCTTCTTCTTTTGATTTCCCATAAAATCTGATTGTCCACAAATTTAACTTTGATTTGAGGTGGCGGTGATTTGGATGGAGGAGGTGTTACGCAGTAGAGGCCTGGTCGTGGAGGACGGCGATGAAGGGATCTGACGATGGTAGTGCTGCGATGGTTGTGTGACAGAGGCTGTGACCCGTGGGCTCGGATGCTCGTTGTGGGCGGTAACCGTCAATGGCATTGGGATCTAGATCGGAGAGCAGTGAGTGATTTCGGCGATGCTTCAATTTACTGATTTAATTTTTTTATTTCTTCTATGTTTCAAATTCCTTCGTTGTTCCCCTGTCATGCGAAAAAACAAGAAAAATAAAATGTTGTTGTTGTTGTAACGTTGAGTTTTAAAATTTGTTGTGAATGTTTTTACTTACAGGTTTGAAGTGGTTGTTGCATTGCAAGTTTATAGATTATGGACTTTACAAAGTGACGAAGATGACAAAGGAAGGATAATGTGGGTTTCCGGTTGTGAACATTGAAATAGCAGTGTTGGAGGAAGAGGATGAAGCAACTGGGAACGAACGAAGCTGATTGGGTTTACGCATGAAAGATGGAGTAAGCTTTGAGATATGGCACGGAAGCAACAGGTTGTTGTTGGTGTTCGATAATGGCGATGGATGTATGGAAGGAAGTTGGAGATTGGGATGGTGGAAGTTATCGGATGATGGCGGTGGAGTGAAGTACAGAGGGTGTCTTGTTGGCGATTGAAGTTATGGAAGGATTATGAGAGAATTAGTTATGTAGATAATGGACGGTTGCAGTTTGGAAGGAGAAATTGAAAGGGGATTTGGTAGTGTCACCATGAAGGTTGACGGTGAGATTTGAAGATGATTGAAAGGGACTGAAGATCCTGTTTGCAATGATGGTTTAATCCCTTTGAACTGCGAGAAACATAATAGTGGTAGTGGAGTTGATTTAATGGATTACCGAGTAGAGCATGTTGAATTTCTGCATTGTGGTACAAACACGTCTAGTATTGTAAGTGAGCTACAATCTCAGGTACCTATGGAGCTTAATCAAGTTGATTCAGAAGTCTTTCATGTGTTGGTGTCAACAAATGGACAAGCTTCTGATTCTGTAATCAGTACAACAAGTATAAATCATGATAGTCAACAAAAGGAAACAAAATTGGTGAAAACGGTTTCTCCTGTAGCGGGATTGCTTCCTACAATACAAGAGGGTGAATTTGAGAAGGAAGAACAGTATGGTCATCAGGTTGATGAAGTAGCTCATAGTTCTTTAGATCATGATAAGACTATTGAAGCATTGAATATGACAGAAGAAGATGTTGGGTTACTGGATTCAACAATTATGGAAGATAAAAACAAAACACAAAATAAAGAGAAATCAGAGAAGTTAATTTGTGTAACAGATGCTACAATTTCTTCCGATCTTCTGATCGAAGAAGATCTAGAAGAGGGGGAAATTTCTGGAGAGTTTGTAATGGTGGATGAAAACACATTTGACGTGTCTTCTGCAGATGCTACAATTTCAGAACAGATGAAAATGGATGAGATTCAGAAACCTGGGAATTCATTTGGAAACAAGGCATCCCCCTTCAATATGGGTAACAATGGGCTTGTAGAACCTAGGACTATCAATGCCATACCAACATATTTAACCCCAAAGCAAGTCTTGCACAAAGGATTCATGGAAGAAACCGCTATCAAAGATCTTGGTAACTCGTCTGTTGTACAAGTATGGATTTTATCTGGGCATATAAACTGATAACATCACTTTAATTTACTTACCTTACGTTATGTTTTATACTCACCAGTGATGAATGAAAGATATTCCATGATAATCCCTCCTTTTTTTATTTTTAACTTATTGTCCAATGAGTTTGTTTGGGAGAATTTACTTAATATAGGAATAATGTTAAGAATTATTTTATCATCAAAATAAGATTGTATTGGAAAGAGATGGTGTTGCTATTACTCTACTTTGAAGAGTAAATAACAGATCTATGCATGTTTGCAACATATGACTCATCATTTATTTGATGAACGTTATTTTGTAGTTAGATCTTTACATAGTTTTGGATTCACATTATTTTGCCAATTCTTTTTTATGAAATTGTGTTTTATAACAGATCTTTCCGTTCACGCGCTCTCGCGTGGGAGAATCAAGGACGCACGTGCCTTCATGACTGCTGCATTGTCTTATCAGTATAACTGTTGGTCTGTCCTTAAATACGCCAACGACATTTCCTTGGTTTTTAAAATGATGTCATTTCTTGAATCTCTTACCGCCCTCTCCAACAATTCTCTTAGCATGATTCTCTCTTATCATCTCTTTGGTAATGATACTGATTCCTGGAGGCCGCCTCGCACCGAGCGCGACGGTTTTGGGAGGATCCGGGGTAGGGTGTGTTCGTCCAGGGACCCTCAGTGCTCACCAATTTTAAGTCGGATGCTAAGGTTTGTAAGGACACTGGTAATGGATGTTACGGAACGGTTCGGGAAGCAGTTGATGCAGCGCCTGATAATATGGACATTGGTGGAGGGAGGAGATTTGTGATACATATAAAGAAAGGGGTTTATGAAGAGAGGGTTAGGATTCTGTTAAGGAAGAGGAATCTTGTGTTTTTAGGGGATGGCATTGGTAAGACTGTCATCACTAGCTCTGCAAGTGTCAGACTACAAGAGGGGATGACAACATATGACTCTGCCACCGTGTTGGCTGAAGATTTTGATGATATTGTTCGAAGCAAAGCAAGTTGGATGTTTCGATTGGAATAAAGCAAGATGTCATGTTTCGAAATGGTAGAAGCAGTGCTTCGAATGGGCATGTCAAAACTCTGAGCTTCGAGTGACAGTTATGGGGATATATTCAAAGAAGTCTCGAAATGGTAACAAGGATGTGTCCAAGAAATGAGTTCGAAACGAAGAGTGCCAAAACATTTGAAATTCAAACGCAAGCGGGATGTTCGAAATTTAAAATATATGCGTTGGAGCATTCAAAGACGCGTGGAAGCTAGAGGAGGGCATTGCTTTGCATGTTCTGAACGTGGCAGAATCTTATAGCAAGACCGTTATGGTCGAAGTAGTATAAATAGAAGTCTTAGCATTAGGATTTCGTGTGTCATATCTATTGTACAAAAATTCAATAAACATTCAAAATACCACATGGCTAGGGAAACGAATGCACGAACAATGTACGTATGATAACACCAAGTGTTTATGATTCAATAAAACTCTTTATCATTTCCAGTCTTTTCCTCTATCTTCATGTCAATATCATTCAAAATCCTTTACATTAAAATGTTTTCATTCGAAGTCTTTTTACTGATGTCTTACATTTAAATGTTTTCTTTCCATTTCAAATCCTTTACATTTCAGAAACTTTTGTATATTTCATGCCTTTATCTTCATGCTTTTATCATTTGAATACCTTTTTCATTCAAAGTCATTTTACTGATTTCTTGCATTTAAACGCTTTCTTCATATTTCGAATCTTTTACATTCCAGAAACGCTTTTACATTACATGTTTTTATGCTTCGAAGTCATTTACTTGTCTTTTCTGCAGTTTTACATGTCTTTACAATTGAACTTTATTCATGCAATTTAGTTTCACACGCATTTACTTGATCATGTCATTAGATCTTTAATAGAGTAATCAAAGTAAGTTGAACACCTACACAACATTCTAAATACCAACCATGAATATCAGTTCTATAATGAGAATTATCCAAATGACCAATACATCCTAGGATCAATCTAGTCGATCCTGCAAGTTACCAGAGAGATTAAATAACAGTCATTAAGATTATTTGATAGTTTGGAGGACTAGCGGTTGTTTACCAGAAATCACTGTAAACAAATTGGCACACCCGGTGGGACCCGTCATTGGTCATTACGAAATTTAGAACAAAGTAAAAAATTGTTGAGACGTAACTATTGTAAAAAATACTCTCTGAGTGATAAGTTTGTTGTTATATGAACCTTAGAAGTGGTAGAATAACCAATAGCAACCAACCCTTACCCAGAAGAAAACGTTTAAACAAGATGTCTAATCCAGACAATCAACAAGGGGAACAAAATATCCCACATACAACAGGCACTAATATGTCCGCTTCGATGGGAACATCTAATGCAATCCCTTCGAACGCACAGTCTGTTGCATCCTCTACCAGTAGCGTAGCCACTAATGGAACAAGTGGCATATCAACTAACAGTTCGATCCTAGGAAATACTGGAACCATTGGTTATCCTAGGGGATTCGTCCCACCACCAGGGACACAAACCCATTTCGCCACCCCACTAACTAGACCACCCGGTTTCGATGGTAATAGAACCAGAAATTCCTCTTATGGAATGTCGACGTCTTTTATGGCAGGCTTACACAATTCCACATCGAATTCATCACCACAATTAGGGTCTGGGTCTGGGGCAAATCAATTTATGACAAATAACCAAGGATCAGTGGGTTATAGTGCAATGCCTATCTTAACCACAGAAAATCAGTTGGCCTTTAGGCAATTAATGGATGACAGTAACCATAATATGATAGGAGTGTTAGCACAAACTATGCAGGAAATCTTTGCCCCAATAGTACAAAATATAACTGTGACAAACAGAGAAAACGCGGATAACATGAGTCGAATAGCAGATTTTTTCGCTCCCCCAGAAAGGCGTAGGCAGAATCAGGCGGGAGTTCGAGCAAACGTACCTATTATAGAACAAGTTGCTAACGACCCACCCTATAGACCAGCCAGAGAGGAGGTTAATTTGGGGGCAAGGGATCAAAGGTTAGAAGCCCCAATGATTCAAGGCCCACAAAGGGAAATTATGGAACCAGGGGTAAGGGTCGAAAGGCTAAAAGTCCCAGAGTTTCAAGAAGAACAACCTAGAGGGGTTGTCATGGTGGGTCAAAATCAAAATGCTGATGCAGTCGTTCATAGAATTCGAAACGATAACATCTTGGTAGAAAATAATTTAACCACCATGATAGAGAGAATCATGGCCCAGAATGGCCTCAACACAGGAATTAGAAGGCCAAATTATGCCTCCCCTATATTAGATTACATAATGCACACTGATTTACCAAGGGGATATAAAGTCCCTAAGTTTACAAAGTTTGCTGGGGATACCAATGAAT